GTCAAAAAACAGCGCATACCTTTTCTTAAACTTGCAGGTCTTGCGACTATTATTTCGAATAAAAATAGCGTCCAAGATGGAAGACTGTCAGATATTGCTTGACAGGGCGTTGCAATGTCTAATTGAACAGATTTAATAATAATAATAATAATAATAAAGGTCTTTATTTGAAGCATAATAAATAATCTCAGGAACTTCAAGTTTATAAATTAATGATACAATATAATAGCATTATATGATAATAGTATCTTTGATAAGTTTCGTATTGATTAGACACAGTGTTATTTGTATGTCGCGATAATTGTGACTATCTAAACTCTGAAGGAAATACAAAATCGAGTAGGTAGCAACTTTTTTTTATCCAATCAAGTGACAATATCCTGTCCTTAATTGGATTTTAATTTATCCATTAATTAAAAGGTGATAACACTCTAATAATGCCTAATAATTATACCAATTGACCCACAAAATGATACATCAGCATAACGGTAATTTCGATGTCGGAGAAGTCAGATTTTTATTAACAGTCAACGTTTCTAACTACCGCTTATTTTCAAACTGAGAAAAGTAACAGCAAAATAACATTTTAATCGTTTTTTCTAAAATGTTTGATTTCATTTGATATCCCTTTTCATTAGGCTTCAGAATATATTTTTTTAACTTTTATTGGAAGGTTTTAGAGAAAGATATTCGACTATGGGGGTCTGAGGTATCAGTTCATTTTGGGAAAGGGATCTTTTGTTCAAAATAGTTTGAGAATCCCTGATTTACATGTTCATAATCAAAAAGTTTTAGTCTAATCGTTCGGCAAATATTTTGCTTTGGTGGAAAGGTACATTCCAACTCTAAATTTGATGCTGCATCTGTAACTTTATTTAGAACTTGGTTAAATTTGTCATCGCTGCGATAATTTTGAAAATGAATTTACTTAAAAATTATTGTTTTTAAATAAGACGAAACTCAAGTGTGATAGCAAATGGCAAATTCGAAATAATTCTATTATACTAATATCATTCGAATCATTTTAAATGTCTGAAATAGAGTGGAAATAGAGGACTTCTATACATGGGAAATGCAACCAACTTGACAAAATAAAATTGACACTAATGAGATAATAAATCGGGTCACATAAAGAGGTTGTGTTTTAGTTTGCTTTTTGGTTTTTTCTATCCACTTTCATGCCATTTGCATACCTTGTTGTACCCGTAACGTGAAAAAAGCTTTTTAGTCTAGAGTATTTTACATTTAAAGGTTTAAACATTTTGTCATTGTCAGCTGTCAATTATGTTGATGGTAGAACGCAGGCGTAACCATAGATGGGCATAAGGTAACTAGTATTGTATGTTGGTTGTATATTGATAGAACTTGTATTCGTAGCTGCAGTATTTTGCAATCGACATAAATAAATAAAACCAAATAAAAAAAAAATATTTCAAGAAAGCGGGAGAAACACAAATAGACTATTAACAACAAAAAATAAAATGCAATGCTACGCTTATATTTTGACATTATCGACAGCTGATATTGACAAATGTTTTCAACCTTCAAATGTAAAATACCCTGAAATCAAAAGTATTTTTTACGTTACGGGTACAACATGAAAGTAGATAAGAAAAACCAAAAATTTACCAAAAAAACAACCTCTTGATGTGACCCGATTTCTTATGTCATTAGTGTCAAAAAAAAAATTGTCAAGTTGGTTACACTTCCCTTGTATAGAAGTCATATATTAAGCATTCCAACGACCTGTCCAAATGGCTACCAGTGGGTAATGACAGTTTAGATAATAGGTGCGTTTTATTCATCCATTCTCTAGTAGAAAAAGTTTGAACAGAATTTGCAAACGCAATAAAACGATAAAATTGTCATCTGTCAAAAATGTCAAATTTAAAATCATCGTTTGATTTATCCATTATCCCGCCCACAGATATAGTTAATAGTAATTTAAAAATGGAAATATTATTACAGATGTTTCGAAATATTGCAACTTAATAATCATTTGCTATTAGCTGCACCCAGAATTCCAGTTGACATTATTAGATTAATTATCGAGAAGTATGAAGTATAAAATTATTTTGTAATATTTTTAATAATTCAAAATATTTTCTTCTAGTATGACCAATGCTGTTATAGCGAAATCTCAATTTGTTACATACATGTAAACAATAAATAAAATATGCTGTCTTTGTTGAACCAGAAATATTGTCCACTTTCATCCTGTACAATTTCTTCCATTTTTTACAACCTGTATCAGAGTCAGAGATCCAAAGCCCAATTGAATTACCATTTACGAATTTTACGATGACAAAAAATAATTAAAAATTATAAGTATTATAACTCATAACCTTACTAATAAAGTATGTTTGGCACATAAGTTTGATATACCAATACCCTCCACTTTTTTCATTCCCTTCATTCGGTCAAAATTCACCGAATGAGAAGTTTGAGCGGAATGAATCAATCGATACAATAAAACGCTCATTCTGTTCAGACTTTCCACACCGGTGGCAAAAGATTGAGCAATAAAACGCGCCAATAGCAACCCTGTTGTCATGTTGACATAATAGGGTCAATGATACATATATAGTTATATAGATTGCTCAAAGCTGGTCGTTTGCATGCGGCCATATTGCCTGACAAATATTTATTAATTTGAATCGGTTTAGCAAAAATGTGTTTTAAAACCAATTGTCAGCCTTTCTATATTTAAAAAATAATAACTGCTTACATTTTTACATCAAGGCATAAGCTTATGTTTATTTTGAAAAATATGGATGATCAATCTATGTAACTATCTATTTCATTGACCTTGTCAAATCACCAGGCCTACAGGGTTGCCGTAATTTTGCCATATCATAATCTGTCAAAACCCACTGGTAGCCATTCAGTTTGGAATGCCTAATTGGGTAGATCCTTAGAGCATATAAGACTAGAGATATCATTCTGTATTTTGTTATGTATCACATACTTTGATTACTATACGGTGCAAGAGGGAGGTCTGACACGCCCAACATAGGGCGCGGCCATTTTGATTCCTATGCCACAGTTTATAGCTAAAGAATCAGATCGCTGACTCTGCGTCGGCACTTTTGATCTCAATGTTCCAGTTTATACACTGCGCAACTCGGATAATACAATATATGACAACCGCCTATAATAAAACAGCAGTCTTCTGCGTATCCTGAATTTGTATCCCTGGAGTGGATGTTATTTTGGAACTTTCAACTGGTCCGAGTGAGCTAACTGATTCTTCAGCAATAAACTGTGACTCCAAAAATAATATTCACTGACACTGACAGCAACAAACAAAATATCAGGTGCGTTTTAATCATCCGCTTCTGCTTCCGGAATTGTCGGTTTAGTCGTTTTAACCTGTCCGATTAAAACAAGAAAACCGACAATTCCGAAGCAGAAGCGGATGATTAAAACGCACCTATTAATAATATTGCGCCAAGATGTAGGCAACACGCAATAAGCGATCAAAATGGCGGAGTTTTCTATCTCTTTTTAAAAGGCACTCAGAAAGCTGCGCAGTGCGATCATTCTCCGTATAGTAAAAGAAAATCAAAGTATGTGTTATGTATACACAAGCAACGTTTTTGCGTCTTCTTTTTTATGGTATCGCGTTCTAATTGAGTAGATCCTTGGTGATCTCTGTCAAGTAGTCAGGGAACCACTCCAGTCAGTACGCTGTGCGCCAGCGTCCTAAGCATCGTAAGCTTAATAAATAAAAGTAAATATTGACGTATGACGTTTTAGACTTAGGTGTACTGCGTTCAGCATTGGGTTTCTCATATTTCAATACAACACGTGTCTTTGTTCCACAGCATGCGATTCGTATGTAATGTCTCTTTCTCTCTCTATTCAATTCGTTACGTGTTGAATACGCACATAAGAATCAATGTCCAGGGGGGCTATTTTCAAACTCGAGAGAATTCATTTCTCTCAAGAGAAATGTCATACGTCAACGTAAAACCGTATTTTTAGGGCTCTAAAGGGCCAGTGTGAACTCACTGACTGTTTCTCTCGGTTTATTTAGAGAGAATTAAAATCTTCCTAAGAATTTTAATCCTCGATGCCTTTAAAAACAACATTTCCACATTGACGTATGACATTTCTGATGAGATTCTTGAGAGAAATGAGTACTCACACAGTTTGAAAATAGGTCCCCTGATTGGATAGTTAAGTGTCAATATACCTATTAACTTTTGACACTTTGATTCGAATGATTTGATTCGAATACTCGATAAATGCGATTTTTAATCATCCGATTATTTGATTATGACGATCATTCGATTATGCCTTGCCGCGTTTGAGAATTCACATCGGATGCATCTGAGATGTAGTAAATCTTTGATCACATGATTCAGTATACGTAAATGTAATGGGACAGATGTGTCCGATGTGGATAAAAAAACGCTCGAGATGTAAAAAATGCATCCGATGTGGATTCTCAAACGCGGCATCAATCACTACATTCTCTCTTGGATACTGCAACGCGCGAGATGTGGTACCGTCGACCCTACAGTGGCAGCGGTATCCCAATTGTTGGCTAACAAAATAATTTATTAGGTTGCCGAAATAATCTATCGATTATTGATATTGATATTATTAGAGTTTTGTTACATTTTGATTAAAAAGTTAATTTTAGACAAAACATCGTACCAAATAAAGATAGACGTTATAAATTTATAAATTTGAGTACTTATTAGTAATAAGCATGCTTTATGAGTTGTTTCAAAATTGAAATTTTTAGAATCATCAGCAATTTCTACAAGCGCAGCACTTATGAAGCTTTAAAGATTTTATGGATTTAATTCCACCTTAACAACTTTGTATCACTTAATGGCTTTAGGCTTAGGTTAGGTAAATGCTTTTTTATAACTTTCCATCTTTTTGTAGAAGCCAAAAAAAAAACATAATTCATGTACAATACCAAAAAAGTTTCTGTCCATTATCCGAGTACCTCCTTAATAATTTTTTTTTTTTTTCAATTTCAGGGGAATTCAGAGAACAACTTCACAATCTACTATCTTTACCAGTCAGTACGTCATCATTCAACGTGACGCACTACAGCAAAAACGGCAACGAAAGTCAGATATTACCGTACGCTACGTTCCATTTGCAACTAGCCATCTTGATCAAAAACTTGCGACAAAGAAAGCCAGGCGAACAATTCACTTTGAATCTGGACAACGCTTTATTCTACAACGAACACATTGATTTGAGAAACGTCTTTGCTGCTTCCCTTAAGAAGATGTATAATACCGAAGTTGCGGCTTTGGATTTCAGGACAGATACGAGAAGGTAAGTCAATGAACAACATAGGTTAGGTTACATTTTCTTTAATAATATTCTTTTGTTACAGCATTATCAACAACTGGGCTTCGGATCACACTAACGGATTGATAAAATCATTTTTATCCAACCGTTTACCTCCAAACACAGCCTCCCTGTTCCTCAACTCCATTTACTTCCTAGCTGAATGGGAAACTGCGTTTGCAGACTTTCTAAACAACGAAGACAACTTCCAAGTCAACCCGACGACTTCGGTTAACACGACATTCATGATGGGCAACATTTTGGACATACCTTTCACCGAAACCAAGGATTACCGACTAGTATGTTTACCTTACAAGAATAGAGAAGTCGGTATGTATATCATATCGCCGAATATCAATCACGAACATAAATACAACATCAAGAAGTTCGCGGAGAGCATCAACCCGCAAGAAATATTAAAATCCTTAAATAACATGAAACCTCACGATGTAACTGTTAAAATCCCAAAACTATCGCTCAGCAACAGTTTGAGCATCTTGAAACCGTTGCAGAGGTACACCGTCTTTGAGAAAGTGAACAGGCCGAAGCAGCAGAACACCAACTCCATCGATGACATTGTTAATAAAGTGCAAGATTTCAAGAACTTCACGGTACCGATGCATGAAGATATTTACTTGGAAAATGCATCGAAAGATACACCTTTGAGAGTATCGGATATCATCCAGCAAATGGTGTTTTCCATAAACGAGAAAGGGACAGAAGCTGCTGCGGTTTCCGGGGGAATCACGGATTATATGGGCGGGGCGAAAACGTTGATTTTGAACAGGCCTTTTTCGTTCTTCATCAGGCATGAAGAGACGCAGGCTGTTATATTTTGGGGAACGATTTCGAACCCTACAAAAAATTAAGTACCTATGTTTTATATATTATATATGTTTATGTTTTTTTTTTGAAACTTTTCTATTGAAAAGCTGACTGATACACACTTGTTACAAGGTGTTCTTAATTTTATTTATTTATAGGTAGGAATTAAAAATAAATATATTTTTAATAATAATCATGTAGTTTTTATATTTATAAACAGTATTTTACCCTTTTTTAAAGTAATCTCTCATCGTAATAATGGTTTTTTATGCCTTCTAAAAAAATTGAAATTAACCTTTGACGATCAGAAAAACTGTCGTGCGAGCCATTTTCGACCAGTCCAGTTCTGCTACTAATCCCTTAAGTCCCTCTCTGCCTTTGTTTAGGCCTCTACTTTTCATTCATTCCAAAATACATTGGAAGCGCCTAGGTAACAATTTTTGCGACTGCACCTTAGAAAATGGTGGAAACAGCTCTAAGAACGTCTGGAATGTTCATAAAAGCCACATGTGGGTAATAATAGCTCATGTTAAGTTAAGAGATCAATCAGTAGGTACAGATTAATATTATTTATAAATTAGTATTCCAACGACCTGCCAAAATGATACCAGTGGCAACTGACAGTTTAGAAATCGTGTTGCCAACACTCCCACGTCGCATTCCTGCTGGATTGTTATATTAAAATCGCTAGAATCCGCTAAAAGTAAAATTAGTATTAATGACCAGTATAGTAATCTCTGTACTGGGATAATAGTGATGGTGTTTATGGATTAGCAGACAGATTATGCATACAATTTTAACGTTCAGCTAATATGGATTTTCATAAAGTAAAGGCCGAAACAATAAATAATAAAAAAAAAATACTTTTAGATCATTTTAAATTTTTGTTGAGGTTGCTTTTTGTGCATAAATGCTGTGTTGTTGTTAACTTTTAACTGTAAAACTGGGCTTTAAACAATATTCTACTGGCAGAAACAGTTGTTGAGCGGTTATCTAACGTCCAATTTTTTATTTTTGCAGTATATTAATTAAATTTTTTCAAAAATTTAAACCGCTAGGGTCGATTCCACCGTTGTATTAAGAGGGTTCTATACCCATCAGCTCCGTCAATTTCATACATAACCTCAAAACCCTCGTCCCTTACGTCTTCGCCATAACACCCCCCTTTTAAAGAAATTGTTAGGCAGCCTGAAATACATTTCTGTGCATTTGTGGTTGCATAGTCTACAAATTCTCGTATAAGAACATCTAGACGTACCATTTTCGGCCGTTGATGACTAACAAAATTGGATTTCTATATATAATCGGTTTTTATTTAATAAGTTTAACACGGTTTCTAGTTTTTTGAGCTTATTTTAATTATAATTACTTTTTATGAACACTTTATTCTATAGCCTTCACACATTCATAAATAGAAAAGCGTATAAATATATGTAGGTAAATATATTATTTGTTTCAGTTTTTATTTTGGAAATTTAAGAGATACTGTATTGAACAGTCTTCGTCCAATGATAACCTAATTATGCGGCCTCAAATGCTCAATATATATAATCGTACAAGTTTAAGACTTGTACAACACAAAACGTGACGTACTCCAACCAATCTTTTGCTGTTTTTTTTATTTGTACTCGACCCATAATAAAAACCACTTCTTTGTCGATTTATTAAAGTCACAGTGATTATTCTCACACAATTAGATATTCCAAAGACCTGTCATACAATAGTTGTCAGTTGGAAGGGCTCATAAATCTAAGGGGATTGGACGCTATTTCTATTTGAAATAGTAATCGCCAAGCCTGCCAATTTATAGAAAATGCATAAACGGTTTCTATAAAAATAATATTTTCATTGTGCTTGACATAAAATATTTAAATTTAATTCATTAATTTTGATTTCACGTATTGTAAATAGACTACATCGTATGTCGCAACCCTTTAAAGATTCCAAACCTTAGAACCGCGCTTCATTTGTTTGGAATGCTCAATTTACTAATAAACATGTATTTGTTATTTGATTCGCATTCGCAATGACATTGACAACCACAGACAGATCACTTATTTTGATGACAACACATAAAATTACAACGTTGCCAAGGGTGGCATTCTTTCCTTTTATTTGCACATTACAGAATAGACAATTATTTGTTTATAAATGCGGTTTTAAACTTGGGTTTCATAATGAGCTCAAAGCCTTTTATAAAACGCCATTAGCGCCCTTGATTTTTGCTATAGGAATGTCTTTTTCTCCACTATTTAAGCAAAATCGGTACCTATTAATTTTTTCCGACTGTAAAGATTTTCGGAGCTGAACTTAGGATAATTTTTTTAGAAAGTGTGTTATGTTATAATTTCAGACCAAAATCAACAAGCTCGTTTCATAATTTCGCGCTCGGATTTTGTATTTATTCTGTAACACTACCTATTTTATAGCAATTTTATGCCCACCCTATTTATTTTTCTGTGAATTTTGTTTTATTTCGTAATAGAAACAACTTTCATTAGGAATAAATTTTTTGTAGAAATGTATTTTTCTACACCCGTATTATAATAATGCACTTATATGCCCATAATCCGTTTCATAATGATACCCATTATGATACAGATTTTTCATTATGATACAGATTTTTAATCAATAGAAACCTACAATTTTTCAATCAAGCATGATGTTTGACGTTTGTCCTAAATTCCTATGTAATTGTTTTAGTTGTCAAAACGTATTACATTTTCGTAGATAGCTAAACTTCGATAATTATAATATTAAAATGTCTGATATCAGCGATATAGAAGACTCCTCCACACATATCGGAGAAAGGAGAAAATGCAGTACAAAATATTTTGCCCCAAAAATCTGTGGTAATACCAATACCCAAGGTAATAATTAATTACAATTTTGTAGAATTTTTTATAGAAATACGAGTAATTACTGTTATTGTGTTCAATGCCAATATAAATAGAATATTTATAGGTCTTGATTATTTATCGGGTGTAGAAAAAATAGCGTATGCAACTCTCATGTAATGGTTATTAAAACACTCGCATAAACCATACGAAACTCGCCTTTGGCTCGTTTCGTATCCCGGTTAATGCTCGTGTATTAATAACCATCATTACATGATCGTTGCATAATATACTATTTTCTACACCCGTATTATAATAATGCACTTATATGCCCATAATCCGTTTCATAATGATACCCATTATGATACAGATTTTTCATTATGATACAGATTTTTAATCAATAGAAACCTACAATTTTTCAATCAAGCATGATGTTTGACGTTTGTCCTAAATTCCTATGTAATTGTTTTAGTTGTCAAAACGTATTAAATTTTCGTAGATAGCTAAACTTCGATAATTATAATATTAAAATGTCTGATATCAGCGATATAGAAGACTCCTCCACACATATCGGAGAAAGGAGAAAATGCAGTACAAAATATTTTGCCCCAAAAATCTGTGGTAATACCAATACCCAAGGTAATACCATTAATTACAATTTTGTAGAATTTTTTATAGAAATACGAGTAATTACTGTTATTGTGTTCAATGCCAATATAAATAGAATATTTATTATTTATCGGGTGTAGAAAAAATAGCGTATGCAACTCTCATGTAATGGTTATTAAAACACTCGCATAAACCATACGAAACTCGCCTTTGGCTCGTTTCGTATCCCGGTTAATGCTCGTGTATTAATAACCATCATTACATGATCGTTGCATAATATACTATTTAAAAACGGACTATTTCCAACGCTACTATGAGCTTTGTCTGTGGATTCACAAACTATCTGTAGAGACGGCAACACCGAACCTAAAAGCTCGAACTGAATTCAAAATTCGCCAAATATACACAATATTTATTGTTTGCCCACAATACACATACTAGCCACTAACGATATACTGACTTTCGATTCAAATTTCGTCCAAACCGCGCAGTGACGTAATTCGGGACGAACTTTCAAGTTATTTTGACACTTTTTGATTGAATAGTGTAAAATAATTTAATAATTTATTTGTTTTTGTGTTAGTAGTGACTATATTTTCTTATATATAATAGGGAAGAACTGAATTAATATTTAAATGGCCGGGCTGCGCGGTGGAGACTTGCAAAATCCATAATGCGAAATTCAAAAATAGTGTAATGTAAGATATTTCGAATGCCACAAGATGTGGATAAATTCTTATCATAGAAAGGACAAACTTAATTTAAACAATAATGGTTAGTAAAATGCACAAGTGTAATAGGTTTAGAGACAGTGAAAAGTTGCTAAAATATTATTTTAGCAAGAAGTTGCCCTATTTACTTTGAGGAAAGTAGTAAACATAAACGCAAGAGAAGAAAACTGAATTCCACCAGGGTGCAAGAGCAGGACAGGAACATATATAAGAATAAGATACATGAATAGAAAAATTAGTTTTGAATATTTTCAAAGTGAACTTGGCAAAAAAATGTTTAAATTTACCAAATAAAAAATTATTTTTTGTGTACTTGCTTTTTATAAAAAAATAATTTGTTTCTGCGTACTAAGAAAATAAATTTAAAAGGAACTACCACTCCCAGAAAGTACAAATTTCAGTCAAACTTATATTTTTAGTCCATATTTTTTATTTATCTTATCCAGGTTATAAATTTTGTCACAACATACGTAAAATTTATGAAAAAAATTAATATTTTTATTAGTATTATTTACCTTCATATTTGTAAACGAATATATTACTAAATAACCAATAAAGCTTAAGTAACTGCATAAAATCTAAAACCGGCGATATATCGAATTTCAAACACTATTTCCCATTTAATACTAACAATTCTGTCCCACGTGACGTCACCGTCAGTCAGCTGCATGCGCAGGAACACACCGTTATTCTGTGTATCGTGTTGTTTGCAATTTTATACATCGATCGGAAAGTAACTCTGCAATATTTATTGGTTTAGGCAACTGAACATACTTTTCGCGACTGGCGCGCCATCTGGCATAGAAAATATTGATTATCATGGTATCCAAACGTAAAAGAAGACCATTGGGGGCAGCACCTCCCGGTGCCCTCTGAAATTTTTATGCAATGTTCAATTTTAGAAAAAACTACTTACTTTTTTCAAAAATGGTAAATACACAAGTTGTTCAGTGGCAAATGAAGAATGGCGGATGATAACATTTATACGTATATGACTTGTTTTATATTTTTTTCATTTT